TTCCAGGAATTTGATGGCCTAGAGCAATAACTTTTTTTTCCCCTTAGTGACTCATTTTCCCTTCTTTAGCTTAGAAAAACCAATCAATTAATACTGTGTGGTCAGACCCCAGCCGATGGTGAAAAAACACAGTCACTGTCTAAGTTAGAATGAAAACCAGGTGCACTTCCTGTCTTGGTGTGTTCAGTCTTCTGAGCACACCCTCTTGATCAAGAATAAAGTTTTGCTTCATCCAGACACTTTAAAATAATGGTCTCTTTCTTGGGGACTCTGAATTTATTTCTTAACCTCTGAGCCATTATTTCTAACAGTACCAACCTGCATGTCCACACACATAGATACTCTTATTGAAGCCAGTGACTTGAAAATGCCTACCCATTCCCTCACCACCTTGCCAACTCTGTCCACAGCTAGTGACCACAACTGCCCCCAGCCAGAAGTAGGATACAACCCTCCATCTCTACACCTGACTAACCATTAGTGTACATAAAGATCCCCAGGGGTATTCCCTTAGGCTGGGTGGAGTGACCATTCCTCACTGAAACTCTCCTTAGTGAAAAGGTGAAACCCTGGAAAACAAGGGTTAGGCAAATGTAAGAACAGCCACCAGCCTCTGACCCAAGGTAGGACTATTCCCTGGTGTCTGTCTTGGCTCTGGGCCAGGGTGGGGAGGAGATATCCCACTGTAAAATTGCCCCCTCGACCTGCTATGCTCATTCCCTCCCACCTTTCTTTAGGTAGGGGAGGGTGGAAAGACTGTAAGCACTTATATTAATTGCATTAAACAATCCTAGCAGGGAGTGTAAGTGATGAGGCCCAAGGGGAGCAATATGCTCTTCTGAGTTAGCACTAAGTCACGCTGGAAGCTTGGCAGCCAGGTTAAGAGCAGGACTGGCTGCCTACACAAGCACAGACAGAGATGGAGAACAAACAATAGCAGCTTTATTTACTTCCCAGTTTTGACAGAGGAGACCTGGAAACCAGGACGAGGCCGCAGGATCTACCCACTCAGGTGGCCTGAAATCCTTGTCTCCTTGTTGGACTTGAAGCTGCCTGCTTAGGACTGATATCACTGTTAGTTTCTGCCTTGGCAGCAGCCTGACTCTGCCACCAAAGAAGTTATGTCATCACCTGTCATCAGGAGCCTTTCTACCATCAGCTATTCGACATGTGCACCCCTTAAAAGTGCCCACCAGGCACAGCTCACTCTCTTACCTCTCTTGTTTCTCTTGCCTGTCTTCTTTCTCTTGTTTCTTCCCTGATCTCTCTGACTCTGTCTGTCTGTCTGCCTGCCTCTCTCATGTCCCCACTCCAACATTGCCTTTCACTCTTTGACTCCCTCCCTCCCCCAATAAACCCCTTGCACTAACTCTATTGTGTGTGGCATGTTTGCTTAGTGGCATACCTTAGTAGGGCCTGCTGAAAGGTACCCATTTCGCCTTTCTTTTTTATCCTTTCAGTCACCCCAACCTCTGGTCTCCCTGTTCCACCCAACTCCTTGACAGAGGAGCAGCAGGTGGCAATTGAAGTGCAGGTGTCAGCCCAGCAGGAGGAAAATCACTGCTGGATGAATCTCAGATAGGCATAGACTCCAGAATGGCTCTTGCTTCTTCTGTGCCTTTACATATTTGCTGCTGCCATCTTTTTCTGGTATCAGCATGGTGTGGGGAGATCCCCACTGCCTAGAATGCAGTGTATTTATCTCGTGGAAATATCTCGTTCTACTGGGCATTCTTACCTTTGAATTATTATGATGTTTTCTTCCTAAGTTGTACTGTTCAATTGATATTAATGTTAGTTTAAGTAGAGTTTTGATGATAAAAAATAAAACCAGGAAGTGTCACACAGCTAGAACCCAGGAGTTTCTATTGAGAAACCACATAGACTGTGGCTTAGGGTAATGATTAAGAAAAACAACTGAGTCCCAGTAACCCAGCTAGTTTAAATTCTTCTAAACTTAATATTGGGAGATGTGTTCACAGGTTTCACAGTGCATGATATCTGGAACAAAGCTTTGAAAATAACTTTAGAAGATAATCTAGTTTTAGAAAGGCACATAGTTGAGTGAGGAACTCTTTAAGGTCAGGGAACAAGAACAAAGCAGCCCAACTATCATTAGCCGCCTTTCTTGTTAGGATAGGTGGGTGACCAAAGGTGATGATTAATTCTCTGTACCCATTTTAACCCTCAATCTCCTGATATTAAAAAAAAATTATTGATGAAAGGACATGCACCTTAAAGATTTAAAGTAGAGTTGGGTGATTCTTTTTCATATATAAAAGTTTAGATTTGTGGGGCTGGAGAGATGGCTCAGAGGTTAAGAGCACCGACTGCTCTTCCAGAGGACCCGAGTTCAATTCCCAGCAACCACATGGTGGCTCACAACCATCCGTTATAAGATCTGGTGCTCTCTTCTGGTGTGCAGATATACATGGAAGCAGAATGCTGTATAAGTAATAAATAAATAAATAAGTTTAGATTTGTGATTGCTGTAAGATTCCTTATAAGATTACCTTTCAAGAGAAGTAATAAAATGATTGATCCCTTATTTAAAACCATAAAATGCAGCCTGCCAGTAAAAGATTAGCTTGCTTGCTTGCTTACACACTGTTAATCATAACAAGTTGCTTGAGTATGAATGTATGTGGGTTCTTGGGATAATTTGTTTTTCACCTGTAATACATAAACTGTTTAATCGTGTAAGGGTTATGGAGAACATGCTATTTTTTACTTGTATTCATTGTAATCATACAGTAAAGCAGACTGTAACCACATTGCAATTTTTGTATTACCTGAAAGATTTTGCTGGGGTATATAAGCTGAAAGGGAAAGAACAAAGAGAGTTAAAAGAGTTAAAATAAGTTAGAAGGAAAACATCAAGAATAAGAGAAGGAAATCACCAGGAAAATAAAGAACAGAAAATGTAAAAGAATAAAGAAAAGGCCTGAAACCATCAAGAGAATTTGTGTGTCTTTTTCCTAACACCCTAAGATAAAAAAAAAAAAAGTCATAGTGCATGCAGTGCTGACTCTGTGGATTCCCCTTTGCTCAAGGGAATGGCCCCTCAGGCAGCAATACCCCTGTTCCCCACTCCTGTCCCCAAAGAATTTCTGGCCTGAAACCCTGACAGGAAGCCTCTCTTCCCAGAGTTCCCCTAGAGCTCTTAACCACTATATATGTAGGAAACTTTCTTTTTTCTTTTTTTTCCCCCTTTTTTAATTTTATGTGCATTGGTGTGAGGGTATCAGATCCCCTGGAAGTGGAGTTACAGACAGTTGTAAGCTGCCATGTGGGTGCTGGGAATTGAACCCCCGGTCCACTGGAATAGCAGCCATGCTCTTAACCTCTGAACTCTCCAGCCCCAGGACTCTTTCTTGGCAGACAGTGCCACATAATTCTGTTCCTATCTGTCTCCATACTCAGGGGCAGCCAGCTGTCAACTCTGTTTACAGCTTTATTCCTACGAATTGATGAACAGCCAGGGCCAAAGGACCTGCAGAAGTCCCTGACCAAATAGCCCAGCTCCCCTGGCTCTGGCCGGTGCACAAGGCTTGGTGGTCCATTCTCACACAGTGTCAAACACACAGGGGACCCAGCCTCTTCCCAGGCAGCTGGGTTCTAGCTGAGTAAAGACTATGGACAGCCTAGAACCACTGCACACAAAAGGGCCACCCTGCTCCCCAGCTTTATAAATAACCTTTTTCAGCTTCCTTAAGGAAGCTTTCTTAAGAAAATGCCAGTTCTATTTTTGTAGTGAAACTGACTGGGTTGCTTGTGTATACTAGAGTGAAGCCACAGGTATATACACATGTGCTCAGGTATACCTGTACTGTAACGAAACAGACTAAAAATTATAAAGAAGCTGGAGAGATGGCTCAGCCGTTAAAGGCTAGGCTCACAACCAAAATTATAAAGAAAATAAAAATATATGTATAGAGGAAAGATGCATATCAGGAGGTAATAGCTTTCCTTAGCTGAGTATTGATATGCAAAGTAAACACCCCTCCCATTCACCTATCTGGGTTAGTTATTCATTTGCAAACTAATCCTTCACATTTGGTGCTCTAATTTCCTGGGGAAAACTTTCCTTTACCTATTAGTATCTTCATAGGGATGTAACATGTCTCTGGAGAGGAAAGTCTGACAGAGAAACTCTCAGCCCTTCAGGGAACTTCCACAGGCAAAGTACTTTAAGTAAGGGAATTTTCTATCCACTGCCCCATAGAAACCCCCGAGACCATATGACCTTCAAAAATTAGGAATACTTTTTCTGTGGGGTATATGATCTCTAACTCCATTTTCCCAAGCCCAGAAAATAAAACTATCTCTTCCACCAATTACTGTCTTGGTTTGTTTCAGTAGAGGTAGAGAGTAGTAGGACCTCCAGGCAACAGTACATGGAGATTGACCACCATATATATCTACATGAAATGACATTAAGAATAAAGCCCTACAACTGAACTTTCCTGTTGCTGGCTGCTACATCCGTTCGTAGCTCACACAAGCGGCCTGATGGCACATCCTCATCTTCCCCCTGTCCTGGAAAGACAATGTGACAAGTTCTTTTCCTGATTCCAGAGACAAACACACACAGTCACATATGAGACTCAAATGCAGGCCTACAGTATCCAGACTGCTGACCCACCACACACCTGCCCACTCCATCCTCCCCATCCTACCAACCCCGCCCCAGCACTTCCAGCAAACTTGGTCCTCACCACCCCCACTCTGTGCAGCTGACACACGGCTCCCTCCAGGACCTCTCCCCTCACATCCAATAGGCTGCAAAGAACAATTTCATTTCTGAACGTGAAGATCCTTTCATGAAGCAAAGCTCTCCTCTGGGACAATGCCCCGCCCATAAGCAGAACAAAGCAGCTCTTTTAGCTCAAGTGTGAGAGCTATACAGACAGCTGCCAGGCTGCAGCAGGCACAGGTGAAGTGCTTCTACAGGGGAAAGGAGGCATCTGGAGTCTCCACACATGTGAACCCGTGGCAAGATGACTGGCACCCACAGCAGCTTCAGCCTAAGGGGTGTGGCAGCTTAGCTCCTACATTTGATAACCCTCAGTTCCCCAATCCACATCATTCCCAGTCCCATCCCTTCCACTCCTACCACCACCACCCCAGGACCGTGTTTGTCCCTCCATTTCTCCCCACTTCAGAGGTGACCGGCTTGGTGAGGAGCCAGGATACTCCCCAAGCCAGGCACAGGGAGACAAAGGCCTGGGAGGGACTTTTATACTGGACTAACTACTAGAAAGGTGAAAGAGTTGGCTAAAGGGAGTCAGAGGTCTTAGTGGGAAGTTGAGAAAGGGTTCTATACTCTCAGGAAAGCATTCTGATACCAGACCACTCCCCCCAACCCCGGACTAGAGAGAAGACTTAACCAGAACAAGCTCTGGAGAAAGATGGAGAATGAACAGTATGTTGGTATTTTATGTGTTTAAATCTGAGTAAGGAGAGATGCGAAGGACCTCTGCCCTTGCCAGTAACAATAACAACAGAGGGCACTGGCCAGCTCTATGCTGGCAAGATTCCAGGGAGCAAGGCTCAGGACACAAACTAGGTGACAGAAGACCCGGCCACCTCATTTTGCCAGGGGAAGAGTCTGGGATCAGTCAAACCTGACCCAACCCTGAACCTGTAACAAACACCTCTGGTTTCCCAGAGATCTGAACAGACCCAGTATCTCTGCTTTATCCCACAAGCACCCCCAACTCATTAAATTCAGCTTAATAAAGACTTTCCTCATGATTGCTGAACATGTCTGTTAACCTGAGGTGGCTCTGTCTCTTTAAGTGAAGTGCTCCCCCCAGATATACCCACAAACCCACTAAGTAGTGTTGATCCACCTTTGAGTGCAGTATCCACAAGGCAGTATCTGTGACTGCTCCCACCTGGTATTCCTGAATGTGGCTTCAGACTAAGTAACTGCGGCCCAGCAGAAAAACCATGGAATGAAAAGAATTGAGAAAGCAACTGTAGTTGGTTGTTTTTACTCTTTGGCTCTTTTGGGGGACCTGCCACCAAGCTCCCAAATATTCACACAGAGACTTATTCTTTCTTATGAATGTCTGGCCTCAGGTTGGCTTATTTCTAGCCAGCTTTTCTTAAATTATCCTGTCTATCTTTTGCCTCTGGGCTTTTATCTTTCTCTATTCTATATACCTTTCTTTACTTCTTACTCCATGGCTTGCTGTGTACCTAGGTGGCTAACCCCTGGTAACCTCTCCCCTTCTTTTCTTGTTCCTTGATCTTCTCTTCCCAGATTTCTCTTCCTCTTTATTCTCTCTGCCTGCCAGCCACACCTATCCTTTCTCCTGCCTTGCTGTTGGCCATTCAGCTCTTTATTAGACCAATCAGGTGTTTTAGACAGGCAAAGTAACACAGCTTCAAATAGTTAAACAAATGCAACACATCCTTAAACAGGCATGCACAAACAAACAAAAACACATCTCTCAGCTACCCGCTTGAGACTTACTGGGTGACAACCAGCAAGTTGTCACACACACACACACACACACACACACACACACACACACACAGAATGGGGAAGTAGGTGCAGGGAACATGGGGATAGAATCCCAGACCTCCAACTGCAGGCACTGTAGTTCAGCACTTGGTGGGGGGGCGGGGGGGGGGGGGCTTGCTTCCAGGAGGTTTGATCAAGACAATAGGACCCACCTCCACTCCTTTCCCTGCTCATTCGCATTGTAACCAAGAATAGGTTGGGACACCAACAGGCAAGTGGGTCTTGGAATCACCCGCCCAGCTGGCCAAGACTAACTACAACCTTTGCTAAAAGAGAGGGTTCATACCTCCTCCTTCATCTCATAGCTGCCTACACACTGAAAACCCAAGGCTACCATCTTCTAGCTACAAGGCATTAGACAGAGGACAAGTCAGTGGAATATCTGGGCAAGCAGGGGTTTGCATAGCACTAGGGAGAGTGAGGACTTGACTCCTGAAGGCAAGGACTTTTAGATTCAAAGTGGCCAGAGAAACACTTAAAAGATACACCTCTATATAAGCAACAGCCTTGCTTCCACTTATTGTATGTTGGGGATGGTAGGTAGGATTTCTCTGGGCCACTCCAACCCATAGCCTCCCAGGAGAATGTACAGCTGCTCTCACATGAGCAGAACTTGGAAATGGGCTACATTTAGGAAGCTGGAGGAGAATTCTATGCCCCACTAGTGCCTGGGTCCAGGGTGGAGAGAATGGCTTCAGAGAACTTGAGGTTATGACTATTGTAGCATTTCTGTTTCTTTCCCAGAATCTAGCCTAGGAGACCCCTGCCCAGATATCAGCCTCCATGCCCTATCATGATGCATGTTGCTGAGTGACCAGAGCTACTAACTACTTCCCCACTACTGTGAGCACCAACTTGTCTGAGGACAGTAACATCTAGCCCACACCTTCTCTGAGCCACTACCTATTCTCCACATGCTCCTCCCAACTGTATATTCCAAGATCTGTGCTGGTGCTCCCAGCCAACATCTGTGAGTACCTGCTGCAGTACTAGCCCTTTGGGGAGCCTTCAACCACTACAACATCTTCTCCAGCATCTACTTCCTGGTTGTGATGAGTGTGGATTACTACTTAGTGGTGCTGGTCATTGTCCAGTCCTGTGGATTGCCTAGGCACCCAGAGAGGGGCCAGCCTTTGCATCTGGCTGGTTATCACCATCATGGGTCTGCTCTTCTTTTCTTTGTCCATGTCTTCAACAATGAGTTACAGGTACCCAGGTGTAAGCTACACTTCCTAAGGCTGGAGCAGGCCTGTTTCCTAGCCAGCCACATTTATACATTGGTTTGGGGCTTTGCAATTCCTGAGTACATCATCTGCATGTTATATGTAGATCTACTCCCCAGATTTCATACCATGAGACTCCACTCTGGTGCTAAGATTCTGGGGAAGGCCAAGAGGAAAGTAACTGTCCTGGTCCCACTGTGTTGGCTGTGTACCTTCTTTGCTGAACATCCTTTCACCTGGCCTCTGTTGTGGCTCTGACTACAGACATGGTCATTGGCATCTTCTATGCCATTACTAGCTCAGCTATGCCAACTCATGCCTCAATCCTTTCTTGTATGTCTTCCTATATGACAACTTCTACCAGAATTTCTGTACAATAGTCCTATGTCAGGAAGCCTAAGAATCCTTGCAATTCACCACCTCCAAAAGCTGTGGTTGACCCAGCTAGGAGACAGTCTGTCTCTTCACACTTATCCCTCTGTTTGACATACAGACAGATACAAACATGACATTGCCTTTCTATACCTGTCTCCTAGACATTCCAAGGGAGAGAGAAACAGGCATTTTGGTCCTGGTAGCAAGCAAAAGTCTGGTTACCCAGAAAGGATGGACAGATAGAGGGCCCCATAGCTAGTTCTTAATGTGTCCTGGGACAGGACACCTTGTAGAACTGAGAGATTATAAAAGCACAGGAACTTCAACGATAAGGCCAAATATTGCTGTGACCCAAGATTCTGACACCCTCATGGCATATGCCATCCTTCTACCCACCATGTACTCAGCTTGCTAGAGCACTTGGACCTTCACTTAAACCAGACAGTACCAGCTAACTTTGCTGTCCATACCTTCAGTCAGCCCTTAAATGTCATTCTCCTCATGTCTCCCCTGACTTATTGTCTATTGCTGTGGCCTATTGCTGTGCAACAAAAACTTAGACACCAAGAAATAAAGTGTTTAGCTTCTGAGGATCTGAAACTGGGGAGAGGTTCATTTGAAGGCTTTGGCTCAGCCTCCCATGGTACTTCAAGCAGAGCACTGGTGAGGTCTAGGTCCTCTGGAGGCTAGACAATGGCTGGGGTCTCTTTCAAAAAGTCCTGCTCCCATGGCTACCAGGAAGACGTGAATGCTCTACAAGTTTCTGGAGTGTTCTCACATCAAGGAAACGGGGACCCGAAAAGGAAAAGGAAAACTGGACAATTTGTGTGACCTAGTTTCAGAAGCCACTCTCATCCCCTATACATGCTGAATATTAGAGAGGAATAGTTAAAGACGGCCTTCACTGACAGCTGTAGGCACTATGGTGGTTTTGTTTGGGGGGGGTTATTTGTCTTGTTTGGGGATGTTGTTTGTTTGGTTGGTTGGTTTGATTTTTTTTTCGGGGGTGGGGGGTGGTTCAAGGCAGGGTTTCTTTATGTAACAGTCATGGCTCTCCTGGAACTCATTCTGTAGTCCAGGCTGACCTCAAATTCACAGATATTCACCTGCCTCTGCCTCCCAAGTGCTGGGATTATAGGCGTGTGCCACCACCACCCACCTTGTGGGCCCTTTTTAAGCCATCACCCACACCCACAGCTCTGCTGAGATCAAGCTGTGCCTAAGCCTGTTTCTTCACTATGCAGTCATACTTCAGCAAAGCCTAATTAGTGTCATTGCTCCTGGGCAAGGGAACCCTTTCAGGACAAGAGCCCCTACTGAACAGATGCAGCGGAAGCTCCCTCTCACTTTCCAGAACTATGTGCAGGCCACAGAGAGTGGCAAAACTATGTGTGCCAGGAGAGGAATGTGTGAAGGAGGAACAAAGTGAGCAGATGAGTGGGTGTGAGGAACAGGAGGGGGTCACACTGGTGAGTGGTCTAGGCTGTAAAAAAGCAAGGCACCTTGGAATAGCCTCTCTCTCAGCTGACTCTACTTTGCTAGAGCTAGGGCATTCCCACAGAAAAGGAGGTACCAGCCAAATTTTATCTGAAGACTCCAAACCTTTATCCCCTTCAATGCTCTAGAGGCGAAATCATTTATCGAATGGTACTTATACAGACCTTTGCCCCTACCCACAACCCAGCAAAGTCTTCCCCTGTGGCTCCCCAGGGCTAGCCAGCAAGAACAAGGGTACTTCTTACTAGGAATCTGTTGGAACTAGATTTGTTTTTCTCCATGGATTCCTTGGGAGTCTGGGGATGACTTACTCTGCCAAACCCCCACACTGTGGCTTCTGGGGTCAAGAAGAACCTAACCCCACTTTAGTACCCAAGGAACTTGGCTGAACATACAATGGGACCACAGTGCCCTCTAGTGGGAAGAGTCCAAAACAGCTGATGAACCCTTGCTTTTCTGAGGCTCTTTGGGGCCTACCTATATATATAGTCCTGCCCTTCACATAACCCCAAGAGGAAATCTGTACAGTTCCCTTTGCACAGAGAGGAAAACTTAGATTCAGAGAAACTTGATTTGATCAAGCTCAGTGGTAAACAGAAACAGGGGTGAGGCTGGGTTAGGAAGAATGGGGAGGGAATGGGGAAGGCGCATAGTCCTGGAGAGCCAGGTAGGCACATTCATCTCTCCTGATGGCCAGACTTCTTTAAGACACTGGCCAGGGTCAGCAGTCCAAAACCCCACACATTAGGCACATACAGTCTCCTGGGAACTATAACTTCATCAGGGAGGGAAAATTTTCCTTGATGCTAAATTTCTGTTTGAAACCAATGTATTTGTTAAGAACTATTTGTGAGCAGGCCATGGAGGTACACACCTTTAATCCTAGTACTTGGGCAGCAGAGGCAGGTGGATCTCTATTAGTCTGAAGCCAGCTTGGTCTACAAAGTGAGTTCTAGGACAGCTAGGACTGCTACATAGAGAAACCCTGTCTCAAAAAGCCACCACCACCAAAGAACTATTTGTGTGCCTGTTCTCTGTCTCTCTGTCTCTGTCTCTCTCTGTGTGTCTGTCTGTCTGTCTCTGTCTGTCTCTGTCTCTGTCTCTCTCTGTCTCTCTCTCTCACACGCACGCACGCACGCACGCACACACACACACACACACACTCACATTTTAAAGTCCTATCCTCTGCTGTGATGGTGTTAAGAGATGATTCTGCTGCAGGTCATGAGGTTGGAGCCCTACCACCTCATTATTACTGTTAATGGGATGTGTGCAACTCTGAAATATCTTTCTATAAAGTAAGGATACAGTCAGAACACAATCTCATAAAGTCCAACCCACCACACCTTCATGGAATGCAGCTTTCAACCCTGTGAGAAATTCATGTCTAGTGCTTATAAACTGCTAGACTAAAAAAGACCAAGCTGACAGTGTCTGTCATTAAAACTTGTATAAAACCAACATTGACCCACCAGCCCTATACTGGAAGCAAGGACTTTGGCACATACGATCCTGGTCAAATTGAGGCAAAGAAAAACCTGTAGGCCAGGAAGAAAGACATCTGCCCTGAGGGTGGGAAAAGGGTGGTCATTGTTTTGGGAGAAGGAAAGGCAGCAGCTTCTGCAACCTAGGATCTAGTTTCCCTCCCATAAGTCAAGAGGCTCCTTAAAGGCTCCTTGTCCTCTGCCAAGTGGACAACAGGTTAAAGAACCCATCAACTCAGTTCTACGGCCCCTCCCAATGCATGTGAACTCCCAGAAAGTTACTCCTATGTAGCTAGAGTCAGCAATACTTATTCTATGGAGAGCAACGGTCACAAGGTGTTTATTATGGCACTCCTTCATTACTCCAGAGGCAGGCTCAGGCCTGGCTACATGCATGGAAATGACACTTGTGTGCTTAAATACATGAAGATGTACAAATTCACAAACTTTTTAACCTTGGCAAGAAAACACTATAGTTAATTGTTCCCACCCAAATGTCACAGAAAGAGCCCTGGTCTCCCCATTAAGATTATTAAGGCCAGGTCTCTCTGAGACAGTAACTAGCCCAGGCTCTGTATTGTATGAAGCCACCTAACCAAGGTCTCAGTGGAAGACAAAGGTTGCTAGTATTTTGGTAGCTGATCCACAGAAAGAGCATCTACAAAGCCTCTTATTTTCTGAACCATCAAATAGATCTCCAAGGTACAGATTCTTCTTCCAGTGTCCCCAAAACCTGATGGTCCTTGCAGATTGGCTCAAATGAGCCATTTTAGGCTTCAGCTCTTATAGCAACTCTTCATTTGATGCCATCTTCCAATTTGACAGCAAGCTCAGGCCTTACTTAAATATGCCCTAAAGCCTGTAAAAGAAGCAGGTAGTCGATGTAGGTACAGAACAGAACACATCCTGCCGCTACCCTTCCCAGGCTATAAGTATGCTTCTAGCAGTACAGCTACTGACCTCCCATGTCAAGTCAAAGAGACTGCCAGAAAGCTGAGGGAGGCTGTGGGGAATGAGAACAGAGCATATTCTCCTGCTCCACCCTTACTAAGCAGCCAAGACCAGTACATGTCGCCTCCATGTTGTGAGTAGTCTACAGAGGTCACACAGCAGCGTTCTCCTGATTACCTCCCACACACCTAGGAGCAGGGCTTGCCAAGAAGTCTGTGATATAAGAGTTCACAGTGGTTTTGGAGGGGAAAGAGCCACAAAGAAGTTCTGGATATTGTTCCATTGGCCTCTTGCTGAGAAGGTGGCCCATGTTGGAGCCACAGTCAGATAGAACAGGCAGTGGCAGTGCCAAGTGAAGTCCCCTTCACAGACATCATGTACAGCATGAAGAGAATCTTTGGAAAACAACCATCCTAGAACCCACTGATGTCCACCCACCTCAGGTAATCTGGCAGCATTAGTGGAGTCAGAACCAGAAAATGTTCCAAGCCAAGCTTAGGGCCAGTCTCAATTTAAAAAAAAAAAAAAATGCTGCCTACAGCACCAGGCAACACCAAGTATTTTCAGCAGTCCTATGGAAATACTGAAAGGCTGAGGGCAACAGCATACAACATGTGACTAGATGATCACTGCAATACCTCAGGTTGAGCCCACCTAGAGCCAGGGCAGCAGGGAGAGGCCAGAGAAGAGTTGAGTGAAGTATGTATACCTATGTGGGCTCACCAGGCATGTCCACTGTGTTATGGATGTTTCCATGCAGTGTCCTTTGATCCTCTCTGGTCTTACACCAGAGTGGGGAGCCTAATCTGACATAGGCCGTAGAGGCCACTTTGATGCTTTGACCTGTCCCATGGTGTTATAAGGTCTCCCTCTAGGATTAAGCATCCTGAGACAAAAGAAAGGCCATTCAAAGACCCAGATGCTCAAGGTCAACCTAGAGAGCAGTGACCTGTGTGAGTTCTGTGTTGGGTGTAGATGGACTCTGTGGGCTGACAGGCACCATGGGCAGGTCCACGCCTAGTCATGCCGGCCGTGGTACTGTCTCAGAGGTCTTGCAAGCAAGGCCCACATCCTTGGCAATGCTGCGCACTCGGTCAGAAACCTGCATCTCCCGGTGCAAGGCTGAAGCACAGCAGAACTTTCTAAAGCAGGCCTTAAAGTTCTCATCCAGGAAAGCATAGAGAATGGGGTTGAGACAGCTGTTGACATAGCCCAGGGCTGTGCAAAAGCGCAGGGTGGCTACTGCGGTCTCACTACCTGGCTGAACACCCAGTCCTTGGACCAGCACAAAGACTTGCACAGGTGTCCAGCAGACCACAAACACAGCCACCACCACCAGCACCAGCCGTGTGATACGCCGCAGGTTCCGGTCCTTCTCTCGGGAGCCTGAAAGCAGACGGACACCACGGAGCCGTCGAATCATGAGGCTGTAGCAGACAGAGATGATCAGCACAGGAATGATGAAGGAAAAAAGGAAGATGCAGATGGCAAACACAGGGCCCCAATAGTCCTGAGGGGCAGGGATCTCCACCAGGCATTCGATCTCTGCAGGAGAGAAACGGGGTTAGAAGGGCCACCAAGAACCATGGGGAACTGGTCGGAGAGGAGGACCACCCACTGACCTTCATCCTCCACTTGTGCGGAGCCCATGATGGCAACAGGAACACCAACCACTGAAGCCAGAGCCCATATGGCCACATTAATAGCCTGGGCTTTGCTGGATGTCCGAACATCAAGGGCACGGATAGGGTGGCAGATGGCCACATAGCGGTCTACACTCATGGCAGTCAAAGTAAAAGTGCTGGTGAACATGTTGTAGTAGTCAATAGCAATGACAGTCTTGCATAGTGCATTCCCAAACGGCCAAAAGCCCAATAGGATATCTGTGCCCTGGAAGGGCAGTGTCAGCAAGACCAGGGTATCAGCCAGTGCCAGATTAAATATATAAATATTGGTAGCTGTCTTCATCTTGGTATGCCTGTAGAGGACAGGGAAAAGAAATACCCCATTTGACCACTTTGGCTGGACTTGGCAGCAGAGAGGCCACCATGAGGATCATCATCTTTGAGTCTCTCAACTTCAAAGTCTTCAAGGAAGCTTGTTAAATGGCAGATCCTGCACTACACCCAAGATCCACTGAGCCTGGGACAAACACTTTAACAAGCTCCCCATGTGATTCTGACATCTACAAAAAGGTTTCCACTCTTAAAGAAAGGACTACCCTGGAAACTTTGGGACATGGAGGAGCATTTGAGTACGAATCTAACCTGAATGTGAATTTTGTGGAAGGAATCAAGAGAGAAAGATACTGTCTTCTCTCCTGAGTTTCTCTTAACACTCCTCTCAGTGATTTTGCAGGGCACTGCCTGAAAAGTTCATCAAAGATCTTTCAAGTGCACAATGTTGTTTAGCAATGAAAACAGGAAATGGTAGGCCAGCCACGTATTGCCAATTCTGACAACCTGAGTTCTATCTCCAGGACACACATAGTGGAAGAAAAAAATCAACTCCCTCATCTGATCTACATATCCAGACAGACACACACATACACATAAATAAATGCAATAATTTCTTTAATTCTAAAAAAGGAAACAGGAAATGGTGACAAGAAGAGGAGAGGTATGAACTAGGTTTGATTGTATCCAAGCACCTGGAACCATGCTAGGAATATTGTAAGTAACAAATATTAATGGAATGAATTAATGTTTACAATAGTGGTAGGGAGGGGTGGTTATAGATATAATGATGAGACAGTGACGGTAATGAAAATGATGGTAGTGATGATGGTGGTGGTTATAGTGGTCATGGTGTTATGGTAGTGGTAAAGATGACAGTAGTCCATGTCAGTTTAGTTGCTATTAGGGATTAAGTTCTGTTTCTTAGAAATTAAGCCCAGAGACCTTAATTACAATAACAATGTCAATGGTAATGATAGATATCTGAGACAAGCTCTTCACATACATTTTATCTTACCTGGGGTTTACCAAAAAAAATGCTATTTTGACCCCTACTCTAAGGGGAAGGAAAGTGAGGCTCAGAGGAGCTAAGTAGCTTTCATAAGGGCTTAGAACTTCTAAAGTATAGAATGGGGCTCAGACCAGGTTTTTTTTTTTTACTCCTAGCATACACCCAACTCAGACATACTGTATGCCATCTCCTGAGCCAGTGTGGTCACAAAAGTTCCTGAGAATAGTTCTCTGGAGATTCTAGTGGATAAGATGGCCTTCCTTGTCCACTCTAATACCGTAAATAGCTCCAAGACTTTTAATATCCCAAATACAAAGGAGAAATGTAGGAGAAAAAATGCTGATGACAAGAGTGAGCAAGGTTCATAAACTGCCCCAGGTTACTGCACTTCTTGCCAAAGGCACATCCTCTATCTATCCCTGAAGAGGCACATGGGTCACAGATAGTTTCCCACAAGGGTCCTCTACTGGAAGTCAATATTGAGAAGGCTTTTCCTACTGCACTGTCCAGTCACATATTACACACATACACACATGTGTGCACATGCACATATATATGACTATATGATCCACATTTCCCATTTATCAAATAGAGAAAACAAGGCCCATGGTGAACAGAATTTGTTCAGAAATACTAAGAAGATGGTGATGAGGCAGGGAATTGACACAGCACTGTTCTGTCCTTCCTCCACCAACACTGATACCATCAAGGGGAACATAATCTTTCTTCAGATCCATCTCTTTTTGAAAGAGGAAATATCTATCAGTGAAGAACCTTGCTCTAGTTATTTACCATTAAAGTACCTCCCATGTCTTCCCAATGCCCAAAGAATTTGGTGTCCCCAGTCTGGCATTCAAGTCCTCACCTGCTGTCTCCAGTCCCCCTCAATGCCCTCCCAGGTGGAAAAAAACAGAGACCATCATTGCCAAACACATTTACCCATTATACATTCCTGTGTAGCGTTCTTGTCCACAGAACTGCACCTCATACTGCCCCCATCAGTGTCTGCTCACTATTGACTCTACCTCAGTCACCCAGTACTGCTGCCTTCTTTTGTCCTCCAAATTTTCCCGTTTGTGAGCAGCAGTAGAGGGTGGGCTCAGCCAAAAAACATCTGCCATGAACAGGAGCTTCAGGCCCAGCACTAGCCCCTCTGCCTCTCTGAGAAATCCTAGGATCCTGTGTACCCATGAGGTCATTCACACAGACAGCACGGCATATCTGCAGCTCCAAGCCTCCAGGTGGTGACACCTAGTCTGGGACAGATGGGGGCAAAACAGGAGTTAAACATCAAAGTTGATCCTGCCCCCTGAACAGAGAGGAAAGAAATTTGATGGAGCAAGCAGAAAATCCATACTTGTTCAGACTCATCCAGAACAGCCTCCTGCCTCAGGTTCCCCCTCCACAGATTGGCAGGGCCCAGCCTACCTGAGGATGACATACATGACGAGGCAGTTCCCCAGCAGCCCCCCGATGCACACAGCCAAGTAGAGCCCCACGATGGTGACCTTGAGTCCAAGGGGCAGGAAGGCACTGTGGCTAGCATTGAGCAGCAGGTGGTGGGGTACAGTCTCATTTAGAAGGGATAGGTTGCCTTCAAAGTGGCTGCCATACAAGACCTCCCAAAATGGGGCAGGGAAGAGGGACTCCATGCTGTCAACCTGCAAAGCCACTCAGTATAGTTCCTGGAACAGGACATAGAAACAAGTAACCACAGTGCTAGGCACAGTCCACTGAGGCCTTAGAGTACAGCACAACTAGCCTAACAGGCACATGGAACACCTCCATGGGCATCCACAAACATTAGGCACATACATAGACACAAGGACAAGGACAAAGGCACACACAAGAGCACATGATAACACACACAGAGGTATAGTAGCCCACATACTCACACGATTACCTCATGTTAGGGTTTCAGACTCATATAGAAGCTACATGGCAGTAGCTACACAAGCACACATGTCCACCCACAGAGACTCAGGGGCACACAGACATCTGAATACAAAAATGCCCAAACCATCCGAAAGCACACTGGAGCACAAAAGTCATGGGATTTATCCAGAAATGCCTAGGGCTCGGGCATTTTACATAGCTTCCTCCCAGTCCCCAGCCCCCAACCCAGAGTCCCCCAACCCACCTCCACACAGTAGCAGCAGTAGCCCTCACTAGAGTCCCTCTTACCTTCAACAGCACACTCAACCTTTTTGGAAGCTGGACTGAAACAGACCCTAATGTTTAGCTGAAAAACAGACAGGCAGGAGCACAGGGGACTGAGCAATGCTTCTCATTCCAGCATGGGGTCTGTTTAGGCTGTGAATGGCTCCTTGCTCCTAGTTCCTGCTCCGAAGATAAGATATTGACTAGACGCAGCAGCCAGTGCGGCAGCCAGGAGTGGGGGAGGGGCAGAAGGCTGCGGCTGAAAGAGGGAGGGGCTGTGCAGGTTGGCGAAGAGAGCCAAGAAAAGAAAGATCACCAGACCAGAACCCCTAGGCTCTACACAAGGTAGAACAGACAAAAGATTAGAGCACATATGAAATGATGGACCCACCCACCCAAGACAGAAATACTCAGGAGCTGAGACACATGATGGGGACATACATAAATACAAAAATGCAGATATGAACAGGAACTCAGACACACATACATACACAGCCTTAAACACAAGGACACACAGAGATGTACACAGAGAAAGCTCACCCAGAGGCAGATGTGAGGCTCCAACACATGCAAATGTTGTTGCTGTGTGTGTGTGTGTGTGTGTGTGTGTGTGTGTGTGTGTGTGTTTTGGTTGGTTGGTTGGTTTGGGGTTTTATTTGGTTGGTTGGTTTTGGTTTTTTGTTTGTTTGGCTTTGTTTTTCTGAGACAGGGTTTCTCTGTGTAGCCCTGGCTGTCCAGGAACTCGATTTGTAGACCAGACTGGCCACAAACTCACAAAGATCTGCCTGTTTCTGCCTCCCATGTGCTGGGAACAAAGATGTACACCACCACCATCCAGCACAAATGTTGTTTTGTACAGCCTAACCCAGACCAGACTTTGCTGGTTTTCCTGCCCAGCGCTGTCTCAGCCAGGTGTCTGGTGGGGAAAAGCACTGAAGCAATAAACAGCAATATTCTGACCCAACTAATTCTGCAGGTAAAGGTCTTGTTGCAAATAAGCAAGAGATTGTCTGGACTGAGGACCCAGTACTGCCCTACTTCTACTGTGTGCTGCTTATACCTAATGTGCACCAAGCCCAAGACAAAATTGAGCTCATGAATGCTCGCTACACATGGCCATTGCCACCCATATTATCCTCACATAAATGAAAGCATCACACCTCTGAGGTCTGAAGCTGTCTGTCAATATGGCAGGAATAAGGGGAAGCCAGATCTGCTGGTCACTTGGAGCAAACACCACAGCTGAGCCCCAGACATGGATTTTGGTATACACAGAGCTGGAAAGCTCCTAGGGAACCTGTTCCTCCACTAAAATAAAAGCTGTAAGTCAAGGTCATGTAGGCTAGGGACCTTATGCTGCGTCTCTAGCCATCATCAAATCATAGGCTTGTTTTTCCTGTCTGAATGAGAGCCAGACCTCCCACACACAGCCAGACCCTGCTCCTTCTCCAAGGATGGGGACCTGGTTGCTAGGCAACTCACAGAAGTGTTGCTAGGATACCTGTCCAACCAGAAAAGGCCGAAGCAGACAGACGCCCCAGGACTCAGCATCCCAAGCTGTCTCCAAGGACTTGTCTCTGCAGCTGAAACTCAGAAACACATGGACACTCAAGGAAACACATGAGGACACATTCCTCCAAATAGACAGAACACATACAGAGATACCCAGACAGGCACAGTATAAACACAGAGACACAAGTGATATGTGCTCAGAGATGCACACAAAGATTACACATACAAATCTGCAAGGTTCATGCAGGCGCAAAGAGGATGTGAACTAGGTTGGGAATAGGCAGACACAGATTAAGGCCCTTAGATACGAAGCACACAGGTATGCACTCTGTCTTTGTCCCTCTCTGTGTCTCTGTGTCTCTCTATCTCTATCTCTCTGATTCTCTCCCTCTTCCTTCATTTCCTTCCTCTTTTATCCCTCCTTTCTCCCATCCCAGACAAAGCTGGCTCCCTGATCTCAAAGATCTGAAGAGGTAGGAACTCAGACAGGCTCAGGATCCTGAAGCATCTTCTCCAAACAACCTGACTTCTCAACCAGGCTGTCTCTGCACATCTACAGAGCCTCTTTTCCTAGTAGCCTTCACCTGCCTTCCAGTTCAGGCTCTAGATTTTGGAAATAGGATGCTGTAAGCATTGTAAGTGTAAGCAGAACAGAGCCACAGAACATCCCTTGCTCTCTTGGTCTTGGGTTGGCTCCTGTGTACTTTGCTTTGTCCTACTGCATGGATCCTGCACACAAACTAGCTCCAGTCCTGCCTATTCTAAGTTTTGGTCACTAGGCAGGAGTGTGACAACATATTGATTGGCTATAACATGAATCATTTACTGATTGGTTGGGAACTGAACTTAAAATTTTGCCCAAGAGGAGGTTGGAATGTTATTTTGGTTTTTACACCTGCAAGGCCATGGGACAGCTAGTGGTTTTTCTGGGAACAGAGTGACTTATACTTACTTTCAAAACTTGGATGCTCTGGAGCAGGGTAACCCATAACAATTTTTAGAAACCAGACTGTTGTTGAAGATAATAACATTCCTTGGAAACTAGTAATAATAACAATTTCCAGAGACTGGTCATCATGACAGACCATTTCATGTGTTCTTTTTCCCAGAGCTGTGTATGTAGCCAGAGTGATTTTCAAATACATGCTGGTGGGTATCAGGCTGGGTTTGAGTTAGGGTCTTTCAGTTTCATTGGTTGGTTTTTTTGTTTTTTGTTTTGTTTTTGAGACTGGGTGTGGGAAAGTAATTGGCCTCCATAATCTTATATGGAGTGACTATTAGGAAGTGTGACTTTGTTGGAGTGGGTATGGCCTTGTTTGAGGAAGTGTGTCACTGTGGGGGGCAGACTTTGAGGTTTCCTGTGCTCAGGATACCACCCAGTGTCTCAGTTGACTTCCTAATGCCTTCAAGATGTAGAACTCTCAGCTACTCCTCCAGCACCACGTCTGCCTGAATGCTGTCATGCTCCCTGCCATTATGATAATGGACTAGACTGAACCTCTGAAACTGTAACTCCCCCTGCCCCAATTAAATGTTTTCCTTATAAGAGTTGCCATGGTCATGGTATCTCCTCACAGCAATAAAAGCCCCAAGACACAGGGTATTTCTGTGTAGCTTTGGTTGTCCTGGAACTTGCTCTGTAGACGAAGCTGGCTTCAAACTCTCAAATATCCACATGTCTCTGCCTTCCAAGTGCTGGGATTAAAGGCCTGTACCACCACCACCTAACTAATTAAGCCAACTCTTTACATGGGCTTTGATGGATGTCATTGGCCAGCAGGTGTACGTCATGGTGTGGTTCAAGAGATCAATTCATGATCACCTTGCTGTGATGGCACAGCTCATGAAATCTCACACAGTAATACAGTAATGCAATAATGCAGTTTGTTGTAGAGCTCTTGAAGCAAAGCATGTATGTTTCAAAGAAAAATGATATTTGTTTTGGAAATGTCCCTGAAGGCAGCAGCTTCTAATATGTCCTGAATGATGAACTTGTTTTTAAGATTTATTTATTTTTGTGCATATGAGTGTTTTGCCTTAATGTATTAACATGCAAACTATGCTTAGGAGGACAGACAGATGTGTGCCTGGTGCCTAGGGAGGCCAGAAGAAAATATCAGATCCCCTTGAAGTAGAGTTAAAGGTGTCTGTGAGTCACCATTTTGGGTGCTGAAAACAAACCTGGGCCATCTGCAAAAGCATTAAGTGCCTATAATCACTGGAGCCATCTATCTATCCCCCAATGATGAACTTCTTAATGGCCTTGTCCTTGGCACACACCAGGCACAGTTGATATGATGAATAGTTCCCCTGGCTGAACCCCATTTTGACAAAACTATTGTTTCCTCCTCCTCCTTCTCTTCCTCTTCCTCTTTCCCCTTTCTCCTTCTGTCTTCTCTTTCTTCTTCTCTTTCTTTAGCAAAACTGTTTCTTCTTCTTTCTTCTTCTCCTCCTCCTCCTCCTCCTCCTCCTCCTCCTCCTCCTCCTTCTCCTCCTTCTTCTTCTCATTTTTTGAGACAGGGTTTCTCTGTGGATTTGGAGGCTGTCCTGGAACTAGCTCTTGTAGACCAGGCTGGTCTCGAACTCATAGAGATCCACCTACCTCTGCCTCCCGAGTTCTGGGATTAAAGGCATGAGCCACCACCACCCAGCTTCTCCTTCTTCTTCCTTCTCCTTCCTTTCCCTTCTCCTTTTCTCCTTTTGTCATCTTGTAGCCAGAACCCAAAAGAGCCATAAAGGTAAATTTTAATACCCAAGATTTTGTAGTTCTCATTTAGATTTATTATTTATCAGTTGAACTTAGACAGGCAATTTGATTATTTTTTCCAAAAGCACAAAAAATTACTAATCTCAGATTTATATTTTAAAATTAATCTTCTTAGAACAAGGCAGAAAATAAACATCTTAAAGACAGCATAACTTAATTCTTACATGTTATTGTTGATAAGGCTTAAGACTCAAATAGACACCTAGTAAAAGCATGAAGTAAAATGTGAAACTAGTCA